TAAAAATAGGCAAAGAATTGGGCACCTGGGTGGCTCAGTTAGTTAAGTGACTGCCTTCGGCTCAGGTCATGATCCTGGAGTCCCGGGATCGAGTCCCCCATCGAGTCCCGCATCGGGCTCCCTGCTCTGCGGGGAATCTGCTTCTCCTTCTGACCCTCCCCCCTCTCATGTTCTCTCTATCTCATTCTCTCTCTCAAATAAATAAATAAATAAATAAATCTTTAAAAAAAAATAGGCAAAGAATTGATTTACACTTACCAAAGCACAGATATCGGAAAGTAGCTAAGGCTTAAGAATCTATGGAGGAGAATATTAAGATGGTGTGATTGTCAGTGTATGAATCAATTGCTGTTTAAATTCTGTTCCTGTTTTCTTTGTGCTCACACTTAATATTTTTTAAATGTATGCAAATTGTTCAACATCATTAGTCATTAGGGAAATGCAAATCAAAACCACAGTGAGGTACCACTTCATACCCACTAGAATGGCTATAGCTGTAATAATAATTCTTTTAAAATCCAGAAAATAATAAGTGTTATTTTTCTGCCAAGGGATGTGGACAAATTGGACACCAAGTACATTGCTGGTGGGAATCTAAAATGGTTCAGCTGCTGTGGAAACAGTTTGGCAGTTCCCTAATAAGTTAAGCTTAGTGTTACCATATGACCCAATGATCATACATGCCTACCCAAAAGATTTGAAAAGAGGTATGCAACCAAATGCATGTATACACATATTCATAACAGCACTATCTGCAGTAGCCAGAAGGTGGATGTGAGTCAAATGTCCATCTGTGGATACATGGATAAACAAATTGTGGTATATACATATAATGGAATATTACTCAGCTATAAAAAGAACGAAGTATTGTTCAGTGTGAATGAACCTTGGAAACATGCTAAGAGAAAGAAGTCACATATGTATGATTCAATTTATAGGAAGTATCCAGGATAGATAAATTCTTAAGAGACAGAATGCGGATTGGTGGTTATCATGGACTGGTGGGGAGGAGTCAGAGAATAGGGAGTTAATACTTCATAGGTACAAAATTTCCCTTTGGGTTGACGAAATGTTTTGGACTAGATGGAGATGGTAGTTGCACAACATTCTCAATGTACTAAATGCCACAGCATTCACTTTCAAAAGGTTGATTTTATGTGAATTTCACCTCAATGAAAAAAAAGTTAAAAAAATTGGGATATCTCTCAGGAGAGCAAAACTGAAAAAAGACATCCAGTACCAGGGCTTGAGAGGGATATGGAGCAACAGGAACTCTCGTAAACTGGCCGTCCATGTGTAAGTTGGTGAAAATTACTTGAGAAAACCGGCAATATCTGTTGGGACTGAACCACATCTGTACATACCCTACGACCCAGCAATCTTCTCTTCAATGTATACCCCAAAGAAATGCAGACATATGTTCATTAAAAGACACACTCAATGTTCATAGAAGTACTCTTTGTAATAACCCAAATCTGGAAACTGGCCAAATGCCTGTGAGTGGTAGAATAGATGAATGTAGTGCTACACAGCAATGAGAAGGAACAGTCTAAAACTGCATGCGACAATATGCATGAATCTCATGAACACGATATTGAGTGAAAGAAGCCAGACACAAAAGGGTACATGCTGTAGGAGTCCATTTATATAAAGTACAAAATAGTTTTGGCTATCTACATTGATAGAAGTCTGGTTAGTGGTTGCTGTTGAGGAGGTAGTGGTCTTGAAGGAAGCAGTGAGGATATTCTAGTCCTTGGTCTGTTGCTAGTTTCATTGATGTACTCAGTTTATCAAGTTTACAAACTATACATTTATGATATGTAGCCCTTTCTGTTTATATTGTTCTTCAGTAAAAACATTAAAAATTAGGCAAATTCAATGCATTTTAGGAAGGTTTCAGGCCATCTGGATACCTTAGAATTCTTATTTTAACAAGTGGTATTGATGGTGAGGCTAATCGTGTGTGTTCACGCGTGCGCATGTGCATATGTGTGAGTGTGTGCATGTGTGTTCAATGTAAATATTTAAGTTGGTTCACTATAATTTGTGAAAATTGACTCACCTTTATCTGAAAAAAGTACAAGAGAATGATAGATATGCCTTATGTCCTGCCTATTGGTAGGTGTATCATAGGCTCTCTTTCCATTTTATTTATTTGATAGTCTCCAAGCAAATGTATAGAATTAATAGAAGACCTGTCTTAAAGAGCTGGGAGAGAAAAAACAAAAGCATATCTTATATTCATTCAAAAAGTTGTATTTAAATAGAGTCAATACATATATTTTTATAAAATCACCGGTGTTTGCCTATCAAAGGAAATAATATTATATATTTATGCATACACAGACATACATTACGTATGTATGAAATATAAAGGGTATAGGGAATAAATGCAACCATAAACAGAAGAATGATTTTTAGAAAATAGACTAATAAAAGGCATTTTGATACAATGGCAGATTTTGTTCACTTTTTCCCCATTTCATATAGAATTTTTCATTTGTAAATTTTAGATGATTTTTATCCAACCATTCAACACTTGGTAAAAAAGAGTAACATGAAATTTTACAGCATTTAGAAACTTGTGTGATCTTAAATAAATTGAAAATCTATAGATTAAATTCAGCTGCCGTTAATTAATAAATTAAGATATTTTAGTACTGCTATTATTGGTCCTAATGCTATCTTTATATCAGGATTTGCAGTTGTAAATCTTTTACATATATATAAAACTTTAAATTTATTTCATCTAACAATTATTTGCTAATTGGGATAAAATAAAACATTGCCTTTCTTTGGATAATTAGCACAGCCCAGGGCTCTTTCCTTTAAAGAATAAATGTTAAAATTAAACAAATGAAACAATTAGATGCTAAGCCTGACTCTCACAAACTGATGCTGAACTAGACATTAACAGGAAAAAAAGATCAGTTTCAGAGATAGTAATGAACACCAGTGGACAGTGAAGTCACTCCCTAGATCAGTTTTAACAGCTTTCCTATATAAAAACAGTGCTTCTTTTTAATATACTGGGGTACTTGGCAGAGAGTGTGTGTGTATATGCTTCACGGCATAACTTCAGATAAATACACATGCACACAAAGAAATAGTACTGTGATTTGACTAATAAATTGTAATATTTGTTTATTTTTTAATGGCATTTAAAGTCAGGAGTAACTTTAGAGGCCATTTAGTTCAGTCCCCTTATTTTATACATAACCTTTGTTACCGTGGTGTTTTTACTATTGAAGTTAAATATAAACATGTTCAAACCTGTGCAAAACAGACTGTTAGAAATATAACCGCGCCGTCTTTACAATCGCCTATTCAGCTGCAAGGCATATTCACTCACAGGAATGAATTATCTACTCATCGGCAAGCGATAACCATATTGACACAGATTTTAAATATAAAGTAATACATATATTTATAAATAACAGCTCCTATATAATAACCAACAGCTCATAATATGCCTGAACATTTCAGGGCCCACCTCACTCAAGAACAACGTATTCATTGCTAGGGGGAAAATGTTCAATTTATTGAATGATGCATTTATAATTTAGGGCTATAGATTTTTGAAGCTAGTAATTGCATTAGAACCACGAGTTTGGGCTATGTGTTTTGATAACATTTGCAAAACTATGTGCTTACGAGTATTCTAGAATGATTTCTTTTTTTTGACTCACATTCATTTTCCAGCATGCAATTTTTTTCTGACATAAAAATGGCATAACAAAGAAACAGGTTTTGCAGGTATATGAATGAGAGAGCTCATTTCATCATTAGGATAATAAGTTTTACAACTATCTTTAGCATTATCTTATATATATAATTCACATTGAAGTTGTTGCTTACAAAAATCATATGTACTCAATGAAAAACATTTGGAAATATTGAAAAAGTGGGAATAACAACTACAAAACTTACCAGCCAGAAAACAATAACATACCATTTTGGTGATTTTCCCCCCCACACACTAGATACCCCTCCCCTGCCCTTCTAAACACACATAAATATACCTGCATATTCTTACTATGCATTCTAGCTCCACCACTCTCATCCTCTGTGACCTTTGGCAAGTGACTTCACTTCTCTGTGCCTTTGTTTCTTCATCTTTAAAATATGGACCGTGATAATAACCATGATGTAGAATTATAACAACTAAGGGAGGTAATAAGTTCAGGTTTTATAAGAGTGCCTGGTGTAATATATATTGACCATTAAGCATATTGAGCATATGTTTTAAGCATATTTTAAAATTATCAAAACTCTCTTATCTTTATTTGCAAGCTGCCCTAGCCATTGGTAGCACCGGGTATTATTTTCAGTAAGCCAGAATATCATCTGTGCTCCCCCCCCCCCATGATAATGGGGGCAAGTGCAACATCTGCAAATATGTTCCATGCAAAATGGATCTTCACACAGACTTAGTTTGTCATTTTAGTTTGATTTTTGAGAAATGAGTTGGGCACATCTGCCAAATCCTTTTATAAGATGCTACGTTCCTGTTTTTATTTTAGTTTATTTCATTTAGGGAAAGCTCCTTTCTTCTCCACCCCTCCCCCTGGGCACCCCCTCCTGTCCCCCATTCCTCTGTGTCCCAAACTGTAATGTTGGCGTACATTGAAGCTTTAAAATAGAAAATTGATGAAAAACCGGAAAGAATCTGTCCCGTTTTTAAAGCCATCCTCCTTTTGATATGTTTAGATTAGGAAAAAGAGAAACCAAATAAACCTGTCTTTTACACTCTGAAAATATATTGTCTGGTAATGATAATTTACTTTTTTTTTTTTTTTGCCAAGTTGGAAATAACAGACTTATTTTTTCAGGGTGGGGAGGAGAAGACTGGTTTGGGGAGGGGAAAGAGGGAGTACAGCAGACCAAGAATCAGTTTGCAAACCTATGTTAATATTTAGATTTTTTTAAGTGAAAAGTTAAGTAGTGCATGCTTTCTTACAAACTGTCTTTGATACCGTGTTTTGTTTATTCCATCCCAGAAGAAGTTAGCGGTATACAGCAAGATGCAGGACTCTCTGGAAGTCACCCTTCCCAGCAAACAAGAGGAGGAGGAGGAGGAGGAGGAGGAGGAGGAGGAGGAGAAAGACCAGCCTGCCGAGATGGAGTACCTTAACTCTCGCTGTGTCCTTTTCACTTATTTCCAGGGAGACATTGGGTCAGTAGTGGATGAACACTTCTCAAGAGCTTTGGGCCAAGCCAGCACCCTCCATCCAGAATCTGCCATTTCAAAAAGCAAGATGGGGCTAACCCCCCTATGGCGAGGTAAGAATTCAAAAGCAGATGCTCTCCAGGGCACTGTCTCTGTTTCGCAACGGCCTGTACCAGGTTCCAGCTGGAGGCTTGCCCCCAGAGGACGGATATCCACTTGCTTTTTAATTTTTAAGGACAGCAAGGAATTTCTTTCAGACAAACAGCTGGATCAGTTTTGTCACATGTGGAATGCAGGGTTGGAAAGGATGCAGTCACACCCCTTAAATTCCTCATGGAAAGTAGTGATGCAACCGGCCTGAGTTTATAGTGGCAGGACGGAGCTGTGAAGCACCATTCCTTAAAGCCCCAGTGGCCCAATTTGGATCTTTAAATAGTAGGTGTGCCCTGGTCAGCTTTTTAAAAATTAGCTCTTGCTCATTCCACTAGGTGCTATGTGGTGACATAGCAGAAATCTGAGTCTGACCCGGGAGTACAAACTTTGAAAGCCTTCCATGTTCTCTTGATAGTTTTCTCGGTCCTGCTTTGTTGTGGTATGAACTCTTTCAGTTTACAATCCAGACATTATTGACTGTGTCTACATAGTTTAGACTATTGTTTTTACCTCGGTAAAAGTAAAGCAGTCGATTGGCCATCCACTTCTGTATTTTCTGCTCTATAGAGGTCACAGAGGTGTGTTTGAGTTTGATTCCTGGCTCACAGGAAATCACTGGGTGACATCTTAAATGGGCAAATTACAAGGTTAGGGGAAAATAAATATATCATTTCAATGATAGTTTTAGAGAATTGTCTTATGGGTGTTTCTTTTGAACTCACCTGGTTATAAGAAGCTTCTAGTAAAATCATTCTCAAAGTGTGGTTTCTGGTACCAGGAACAAGGGCATCACATGGAAGCTTGTTAGAAATGCAAATTCATGGGCCACGCCCCAGAACTACTGAATCAGAAACTTAAGGGTAGAGCAAATTGTCTTTTAACCAGCCCTCCCAGTGATTCAGATACAGACTCAAGGTTGCCAGTCATTAATCTAGTGCTGTTAAAAGCAAAGATTGCAGGCGCCTAACTCGGACCCAGTAAATCAGAGTCTCCAAAGGGAAGCTCTGGGAATCACATCTTAACAAGTGCCCCCAAGCAATCCTACGGTGAGGAAAGGCAGACTACCTGTGGTAGGTCACCTATGGCACAGGGCAGGTAAGGGGTGATACATGGTCATTCCCTCTCAGTACCAGAGGAATGCTTCTGCTCTGTTGTGGGAGAGGTCATGGCTATATGAAATTGCTGGGCCTGACCTGATTGCCAGCCTGCCTTCCTGCCTTCCTTCTTTTTAGTACATATGAACAACACTAAGACAGCAGTGACTCTAAAGAGGAAGATGGAATACAAACCCAAATGATGGAGACCTTGACAGAAATAATTGGGAAGCATAATTGCTTATTTGATTAGTAAACGTTACGGACTTCCCACAAAACTGAGAACTTAGTCCTTGGAAGCCTAAGATGATTGTGGAATCAACCAATATTCTATTTGATAGCATGTGGTAAATACTTTTAATATGTGTTTAAGGTGAAAAATAGGAAAACTTCAGTATATTAGCTGGCTTTAATAAAGTAGTCTGATATATCAATAATAAATCATATCAAGATAATCTGTCCTAGGAGAGTATTAAATATAATGCCTACTTTTTTTTTAGCATAGTGGCATATACAACCTAGTAATCATTTAATCTGGAATATAGAAACAAGAGCCCAAAATTATAGTTAGATGTGAGTGATTATCTGTAGCATTATAACCAGGATAGCTGCAAGTGAGCTTTGTGTATATGCGAAAACTCTACAATCCAGTGTTTTTCCCTTTAACTGTGCAACTGAATAGAGATCTTTGGACTGATGTCCAGTGTCCAAGTAGAAAAGACAGATAATGGTAACGTTTTAGTAACTATTATTACAATTTTCTTGGGATTATCTGAAATTTGGCCTTCAAGTCTACCTCCTGTTTCATTCATAGACATAAGCAGCAAATATTAAGGTCCCACTATGTTCTAGGTAGTGGGACTATATCCGTGAACTTGAGAGTCTAAGCCTCTACATTCATGAAACTTTTTAGTGGAAGAGACAGGTAAAAACTAAATAATGATATGCTAGGTGTTGTTTTACTTTGGGTGATGATAGATGCTCTCTCTGAGTCTGTTACATGTGGCCACAGACCTGAAGGAAATAAGAGTGTTCCTCATCGTATGGACATCTAGGGGGAAGTTATTTGAGGCAGCGGGGACACCAAGTACAAAGGTCTTGTGGAAGGACTGAGCTTAGAGTGTTCAGTGAGAAGCAAGAGTAGTGCCATGGGCAGAATGAAAAGCAGAGTGCTAGGTAGAGACTAGGACTTTTAGCACTTTGTCAATTTAGTGTCTCAGGGTAATGCAGGCAAATGCAGCAGGCTCTTTAATTTTCATCTCTCCCTCTCTGACTAAGACTACATATATCGTATCTAGTTTTCTCACATCATTTTCCCTAATACTCAAGATAATGCATTTCTGTCTAGAAAATCAAGAATAAATATGAATTGAATGATGTGACTGAATTAGGTGAATCAAGTTCATACCATTCATTTATCCCAGATGAGAAAACAAAAAAGTTCTCAATATAGAATATATGAGCATTAACTGTGAAATCTTTGGTTATAGTTTCCTTATTTATAAAATAAGGGGGTTGAATTAAGTGACTGTTAAGATCTTTTCTCTGTAGAGTTCTGTGATTTCAAGTGTATTATTTACTTTCCATTTGTGATAGAACTTTGCCATAGTTGTTTCTAGTTGCGAATTAGTCGATTTTTGATAAACACACATAGCTTGGATGTGGTTGAAAGGAGATCTACCAAAATGTAATTAAAATTTTGGAAAATAACATCCTTAAGAGAGGTATAATAAATTGAGATTCCCATGTCTGGTGAAGAGAGTTACTGGTAATTTTGTATAATTGCCAAAGTAACGCAGATTTGGATAATGCAGTCATTGGATTCGGTTCATTTTAGGGTTCCAATATGGGCCTTACTATGTCTGACTACAACATGATCTTGGATTAAATACTTAAATCTTTCTGAACTCAACTTCGACTATAATACGTGTTTATTGATATACACTTCCCAGGGTTATTGTAAAGATTCTGTGATAATGTGTATGAATGATTTGTGGCACAGGGCTTTATGCAAGGTGCTAAATGATCAGCTACATGCCTTCTCTCTCTTCCTTAAATAAGTTTCCACTCATTTGGCACATAGAAAACCAACCTTGGGTTTTTATCCAGAAACTTTGTTTTCTGGAAGTTTGTATATCTGGCAAAACCACAGTGTCTTGGACAAAGTAGCTACTCAATGATATTGACAATGTTGATGGCCATGGCAGTGATACTTTATGCAGGAGCTGCTAACCAGCTGTATTAAATAAAGGGTCTAATTTATGGCATGAAGTTTTTACAGGCTACACAAGTGCTACAGTGTTACAAAGGGATTTAAAACTGAGTTATGTTTGATTGCAGAATATATTTCCCCAGTAAATCTTTGGACAAAGATAGTGTGTCAGCTAATGATGGAATAGTGGTCATACTTTAAGTGTGTGTCTTGGCGGAGTTAGGAAAGTCCTCTTTAGGTGTTTGACAGCTTTTAGGCAAACAATTGATAGGAAATATTTGTACTTTATTTGGCACAATATCACATCAATTACCTCTTGTCCCAGTATATATTCTTACAGGTATTGAATAGGGCTTCTCAGTTGAGAAAAAGTAATGAATCTGATTGCCCTCTTATAGAAACATTGGCTTCAAATAGAAACATTGGCTTCAAATAGGTCTATGCATTGATTTTAGTGCCCAAGTGTTATTACAAAAAGTGTGTGTGTGTGTGTGTGTGTGTGTAGGGAAGTGGAGCAGTTGAGCTTTAACAAAATCAAAATATCACTAACTGAAAAACCTTGCTGAATGGTGAACTTGATATTTTGTTGTTGTTACAAAATAAGTAATTATTGCTTGATTTATTTATATAGTGTCTGCTTAGAGCAACTCATCCTCATTGCAAAGACCTCTCAAAATGAGCACTAACCTGAAACAATAAAAGAGGAGAAAGGGCGGGAGGGCCCGGCACGTGAGCTGGGTGAGACTGGGAAGCACAGCTGTGCTGTATCCCCAGGAGGCACTGGAGGTCCTTGCTGCCGCTGCTGGCAAGTTCAGGACAAACACATGGAAGGAAACTGAGGCCTGACTTCTGTCATCATCCTGCCTCCTTGAAACTCCCATTTTAGTCACAGTGTCCATTGTGAGCAACTCTAGAACAAAGTAACTAGAGGACAAACTTTGGATATGATGGTAATGCCTGATTCCTAGGTGACAGAAAACATTGGAAACGTAGCCTTTCACCTCTGACCCAACATTTCGTTTTCATGGGAAACAGAATAAGAGGATGGGAATTAAATCACAGTAAGGACCCTTTGGGTTAAGAGTTGAGTTGCATTTTTTTTCACTTAAGTTAATAAAAAGGCAAATGTTATTTTTTAATGTTGACGTGTTGTATCATTATTCTAAGAATATGTTTCCTGGAGATTTTAAAGATGACTGAAGATAGAGGTTTTACAACATTCTATTGTACCATTTTCCTTTTAATATAGCTTTTATTTTTTTTCAAAATTAACTAGTAAAGTGTTTAGTTTTTGAAATTAAATGTTAAATTTTCTCTGGCTTGAATTGTTTACCCTTAGAGGTTTTTTTTTCTTTTTTTTTTCAGAAATATTTAGAGCTAATACAAAAAGTATCCCATCTATTATGAAATTGAAAGACTAACTTGATGTTCCACGTTAAACTCTTCTGTGTCTTTAAAGTATATTTCTGTATAATTCACACAGCGAGATTACTGAGTATGCCTTGGGTGGATTGTATTAGGCAACATAACAATTTTGTCATTTTTGTTTTTTAGAAATAAGGATGTGTGTGTGTGTGTGTGTGTGTAACATTTTTTAATTCCCAAATGCAAATTGAACCAAAGTGTATTTAGATTTTTTGTATGTGTCATAGTGTCAGTGTTGGCTGACATCATCTGAATATTAAGTATCATTGAGTCCAAAGTCACCATGGAGTATTAACATCTGACAGTTCTGAATTGTCTCCACTAACCAGAAAAGTAATATTGCATGGAAATAGCTTGTGCACAAGTTTTTCATATGCTTTTTCATCAAACAAATGTGGCTGTGATTAAGTACTCGTAAGCAAAGAGTCATGTAATGAAAAAAATTTACATACATATGAAATAAGCACACTGATTCCCAGGCATGAAACAAAGTATATCATCTGTTTCTTTGTATTAAGATTTTTTTTTTTAACAACCAAGATACCAAATAGTGGTTTTAAAGTGTAGACGGTCCCTAAACATATTTTCTCTTCAACATTGTTTCATTTACTTGTAAAATGCAACATTGTCTTTGAAAAGGGCTGCATAGATCTCTGCAGACTTTATATTAATCTCAGGAGACATAGGGACTGGGAAAATATTAAGTTGCTTCTAATTTTATTTTTCCCTGGGGCATTTTAAAGCTTTGTTCAGCCTTTATGGAGCACGTTTTTAAAAATAGATTTCCACTTTCATTGACAGTGTGTTCACTAATTACAATACAATAATTCATAAATAGGGTAATATTTTGGGTAAGGAATTTGTTCATTATTCACATTTGTGCATGCATATCCAAATGCCTAAGCATCTATAAAATAAAATTGGGTCCAAGTATGTATAAATGAAAGGAAGTAAAAAGAAAGCATCCGGGAAAATGATATAGACTCTCTAGTTTTGACATTTTAATGGGGGATTTTAATAAGAGGAACTCGGTATCTCTGGCTCGCACCTGTGGGTTGGGCTTAGCAGTTTTTATAACAGGATTCTGGCCCCTTCAGGAGAGGAAAGTTATGAGCAGAATGAAGGGTTTGGTACCGAAGATTGAATCTGTGGCAGCAAAGTGACAGATTCAGGGTGGCAAAGCTGCACCATATAAGGAGGCTCTGTAAACTTTTGCATGGGTTTTAATATTGACAGCTATCATTGTGGGTGTGACAGAATATTCTACAAATGGCCCCCATTTAAGGGAAATTGAATTTTCTTCTCAGGGCTTACACAACTTTCTTTGCAGGTCATTAGCAGCCACTTTTCATATGTTAAGGGATACAATTCTGAAATAAAACAGACTGGCCCCAGTGCCAGTAAGTTTGACTTTAAGTGTTATTTTCTGAGAGATGTGATGGTGACAAAGCAAAGTCATTCAATTAACAGTTTGCCCGGACTGTTTGAAGACTTGAAGAACAATGTGCGCTTCCATCCTTTGCCTCTTGGAGAATATCATTATTTTTTTTATTTCCCTAAGGGGTTTGAGAACCTTGGATATTCTGTGGGGTACAGACTTGAATGTGAGACACCAAATGGCTGTCTGTCCGCAGAATGAATGGGGTGACTGATGGTAGCCTTGGTGTAGGGCTGACAGGGAGGAGGGGGAGGGTCTGCAGTACTGGTGCAGCAGTCGTCTGGGAAGCTGGAGAAAGGAAACATTTGACCATGGTGATATCCTAATTATGTTAGTCAAATTACATATATGGTGGCTGGTTCAAGTTACAGAAGCTTTCCTCTGTGGTAAGAAAACGATGTCCTGGAAATTTATGAAGTGAGAACATGGATCTGTCAGATTTCTGAATACTTTTATTTCCGAGTACTTCTTGGGATATTCTTCATTCAATGAAAAGATCTAGCTAGGTTCTTTTGTGTGGAACCCTGTATGAAAATAGTATCTTATTATCCATGCATGACTCATGGGCTAAGCAACCTTATCTTCATCTATAGATAGACATCATAGGCCACTTCACAGAATGATAGAAATATAGAGTCAGAAAATATTTGGAATTTTAATTCAGATACCTCATATGGAAGAAACTGAGCCATAGGGAGATCAACAGATCCATTTGAGGTCATGGAATCAGAGAAGGTAATTGGCAGGTGCTAGCTCTCTAGTTGAGCTTTCTAGACTCCCAGTCCTGAGCTTGCTCTTTTATAGCCCACAGTACACACAGGCCATAGCTGGAGTTGTGGATCTTTCCAGTCACAGATCTGACTATATCATTTCCTAGATTAAAACTCTTCAAAGCTCAGTGGCACCTCCTCAGGACAGTGCCCACATTCATTACATGGCTGGCCAGGCCCATTTCGGTCTTCCTTGGACCCAGTCTGAGTTTTTAGTCTAATTTTTTGCCAACTTCTGCCCACATAATTCTTTTTTGTTCCTCATATGCTACTTTGTGTGTGTATGTGTGTGTGTGTGTGTGTGCGTGTGTGTATAATTTTTGGCCTTTTTCACATACTTTTTTTATTTGCCTACACCACTCTTCCCAACCTCTTCACAAGGCTAGCCCTACCCACTCTTGTAATTTATTTTTTTCTTAGGCTCCTTCTGTGCCCTCTCTCTGTGCTTCCCCTTATGGGAGCCCCTACCAGGTCACATTGCACATGTTTCCTTATTTATCTGTCCCCTGCTAGACTGTGATGCCTTTGGTCATCCCTGACCTCCCTATCCTTGGCACATAGTAAGTCATCTGTAAATATGTTATGATGATTGAGTGGAGAAATTTAACTGAACACAAGAGTTGGGGGGCTGGTTTCCCTCTTTATTTATCTATCTCTAAGTGTTATTTCTTTTATATTACCCTTCCGCCTAACCCCTCCTCACACCTATTACCCCTACTTGAATGTCCCCCACTCATGATCTCCACAGAATCCCCCTCGAGTTCTAGATGTTCTTGTCATGGTTGCAATTGTGCCCTCTTGTGGCACAGATATGAAGAGTGCCAGCCACTGAGGCAGGCTACCTGCTTTCAAAGCCCCATCTCCCACTTGACAGCTGTGAAATCTTGGGCTTTTTCCCTGCCTCAATTTCCATATCGCTAGAATGGGGGTAATAACAATAACTACCTGAGTCGGCATGAGGATCCAATAAGGTCATCCATGAAAAGTCCCTGGACTAAGATTGGGCATTTTGTCACTGTTACTAAATATCAACACTTTTATTCTCAGTCCAGAGACTCCCAGACCTCTACAGGAAAAAAAAAAAAAAAAAAAAAAAAGCTTGAGCTATACTCTTCTTGATGGGAAGTGAGTGTTGATGAGCATAATTCACTGTGATCATATTTCCATTATTACTTTCAGCATTAAAATTTTGTTTGAATGAAAATTGCATTTGCATTTACAAGAAGTTTGATAAACATCAGCATTTCCAACCTACCTGACTCACATCTAGGGCATAAGCTTTCTTTACCTGTGATGTATGTACCTGTGACCTCTGCTCAGACCTGATGGCAGCAAGCCACCCAGCAGGAAATGAAGCTTTTTAATCTCAGACTTGGCAAACCTCAGCCTAGACTGTGACTGCATAAGCTAAGCGAACGAGGGGTCGGGGGTGGGGGTGGGCACTCATTCAGCACCTTGAACCATGTGCATTGCCTTGGTATGGGATCTCAAAGACTTACCTGGAATCCATTTACCTCTGGGGAGGAAAGAGTGCATACTAATTAGCCTGCTTGTAAAATATGGGACAAGTAGAGGCAAGTCTATCCTAGAACTGAATCTTATGTAAATAATTTTTCTGTCTTCTCAGACAGCTCAGCTCTCTCAAGCCAGCGGAGTAGTTTCCCGACTTCCTTTTGGACCAGCTCTTACCAGCCCCCATCTGCACCCTGCTTGGGGGGTGTTCATCCTGACTTCCAGGTCACTGCACCCCCTGGCACCTTTCCCGGAGCCGACCCCAGCCCCTGGCCGGGACATGGGCTGCATCAGACTGGCCCGGCCCCTCCCCCTCCCGCCTCCGAGTCCTGGCACTACCCTTTGGCATCTCAGGTGAGCCCATCCTACAGCCACATGCATGACGTGTACATGCGGCACCACCACCCCCATGCCCACATGCACCACCGCCATCATCACCACCACCACCACCCTTCTGCTGGCTCTGCCCTGGATCCATCCTACGGGCCCCTGCTGATGCCGTCAGTGCGCACGGCCAGGATACCTGCTCCCCAGTGTGACATCACAAAGACAGATCCGACTACAGTCACCACTGCTACCTCAGCGTGGGCCGGAGCCTTTCATGGAACCGTGGACTTAGTGCCAAGTGTGGGGTTTGAAACAGGTGAGCTGGGAAATTTCCTCCTTTCCGTAAAAAGAAGGAAGAGTAAAGACATACATATAAAAATGCGGAGGATGTTTTTAAATACTTTGAAATATTTGTTCTTTTCTATGTAAAACTTAGCATTGACAATACGTTTATAGAACTAAGCACTTTGCAATAATTCCGGCACTCCTACAGAAAATGGGTGACTAGCTTGAGGAAGGTGTCAGAACTTTTCTCCCATTTCTTAAACTAGTAATCTGTCCCTTTGAATGAGAATCTCTACCACCTCATGTTTACAAAGAATTAAACACATTCCTTAAATCTCCCCTGTCCCTGTGCTCTATACCATGTATAGCGCCGAATAGAATTCAGAAGTAGTGTGCTTCGGTAATTTTACCTTCTCTCCTTTTGTCAGGTCTTACTTAGGATTTATAAAACTTCTTTCTGGAATATAACCCATGGAATATAATCATGGTCTTTTGGAAAAGAATTAAGGAACATATTTTAAAGGAATAGATTTCCCTTGTCTTCCTTCCCTTCCCCTTCCCTTCCTTTACCTTCTCCCCCTCCCTCTCTTTCTCTCTCTCTCTGTTTTAAATGGCATGAGACTTAAAAGACTACTCTAAAGTGTGTATTCAACAGATTTTGATAAAATTGGTAGGGTAAATGTTTCTTCACAGAGCATTCGGCTCCTCTCTGGAATTCACTAGTTCTGAAGGTCATGGTGTTAAATGTTTGATCTTGGTTTTTAGATCAGACTACTCATGTTAATAGTATTAATGGTTTGAGTTCACAAAAATCAGAGGCATCAGAGTCTCAAATACAAATCAAGTCATTGGTTACATCCCCAGAGTTTACATGCCAAAGTCACCCACCTCCACCTCCAATCCCAGGTTCTTTTCCTGGAATACTTTGTGACATATTAGGGTTTTCTTCCCAGAAGTTTAAAGAAGCTCATTGTTTTCTTAATTTTTCTAGTTTTCCTTAGTTTTATTCTTAGTGTGCAAGGTCTTTCACCTGAATGCTCGTTCATAGTAGACGACTCCCCAGAGTAATCATTAGTTGCATTCACCCTGACATAAGTGAACATTCTTATTTTGGGTAATTGGTTCTCCGCTGGGCTTCCCAGTGTTGCTTTTTGTTTAAACTCACCCGTTTCAGCATCTTATTAAGTCCCTGGGTTTAAGCTGCTTTTCTAAACAAACTATCGGGGTACTTGATTCTCTCTCTCTACGAGAAGAGAACATGATGGGGCTAATCACTACACACTTCCTTTCTTTGCCACATACTACGCAGGATGAAGGCAGTTCTTACGTGGTTTGATGCCTGGGACCGGATGGGATTAGAGTCCCAGTTTGGTACCTGCCATCACGGGTGGCCAGTCTTTGGAAGCTCTTCCCTATCTCACTTCTGGGGTACCTGTGTGGCCAGAGCTAACAGCGCTCTTAGCAGGCTTAGGAAATATTCTCTCCTTTCTTAGTCAGTCAGGGCTAATATAACAGAATACCATACCCTGGGTGACTTAAATGACACACATTTAGTTCTCACAGTGCTGGAGGCTGGAAAGTCCGAGAGCAAGGTGCCGACACGTTCAGGGTCTGGTGAGGGTCAACTTGCTGCTTCATGGACACTGTCTTCTCAGTGTGTCCTCAGCTGGTGGAAGAGACAAGGGAATTCTCTGGGCTCTCTTTTATAAGGGCACTAATCCCACTGAAGAAGGCTCTGCTTTCATGACCTAATCACTTCCTTAAGCACGTCCTGCCTCCTCATACCATCACTTTGGAGGTTAACATTTAACATATGAACTTTGGGAGGGTCACAGACATTCGGTCTATATACTGTGCTTTCCGTAACGTAAAGGGGACAAGGGACATGACTGCCTGTTGCTCTCTGCATCTACTTCTCTGTCATCTGCTACCTATTTTTGCACTCCTTCTTATTTTTGGTGGGAGCTTTATTCAGCTACTCATAGTTCAGAATTTTGACTTGAAATAATCTTCTCAGGAAGAAAAGGCATCCTGCTTTTTGGAAGTGGAGGAGAGAGGATTTTTGTTCTTTTTGAAAAACCTGCAGTGGACCCATGTGGGTCTAATATAAGTAGTTCTTAATACTCACTGAGCTGTGAATTAACATTTATTGAGTACCTACATATCAGGTATTGCCAGAGGCACTTTATTTATATTATTGCTTTTAATTCTTAAACTAAATCTGCGCTGGATGTACCTAGATTCATTAACAAGAAGGAAACAAAGCTCAGTTTTCCTATTTGAAAACTACTTTTTAAATCTAAAATGCCCAAGTTGGATTTGAACTAAAACCTACCCCAAATCTAAGAAGTTGCTGGGGTACCATCTCCCTGTAAATATAGGTAAATTTGACTATTAAGCCTATTAAATTAGACTGTTGATAATAAGGAATGAAGGTTTACCTATTGGAAATACATAGTGCTACTCTTTGTCAGTGTGGTTTAGGATGATGATAGATTCACCTCTGTCCCGTAGTTTTGATCCAACTGAGAAAACAAAGACTCAAGGAATAAAGCAGATAAAGCTCACATCATTGGCATAATCATTGATCAGGCTGAATTGGAGATCCTCGATTCGGTTTACTCCCACAATTGGACTTCTAGTATCTTCCCCTAAGGTTAGATTCTGGGAGATTCAACCCTAGAAGAAATCTAGCCTTCAGAGAAGATTTCCTTAGACCTCTTCCTTGTCACATAGTTTAAAGCCTCCTTACTGTGAAAAGAGATTGATGGTTGCCCAGATTTGCCTTAAAAAGCACGGTCTGAGGCATGAACCTGGTGTGCCTACCTTGCAAAGGACAGAGGCAGGAGGAGCGTGCACCTCTCTGCATGGGTGCTGGCCCAAAAGAGAGACTGGGGGAGGGGCTGAGCCATATGTATTCCTTTTCTTCTCCTAAACTCAGAAGTCCTATCAAATGTCACATCTCTCTTTCTCTGGGAAGAGTTAGAGAGGAGTGTTTTAGGTCAGTTTCCCCCGGGAAACAGACTCTAAGATGCAGATTTGATTGTAGACAATTTATGGGGTAGAGTTCTCAGGGAAACATCTTTGCGCAATGAGAGAATTGGGCAAGAGAAGTCTCACTATGATTATGTTCAACTGAGCCTTAGTGGATTCTATAAGGAGCTCTGGAGTTGGGGTGGTACTTTTTAATTGTCCTACTTTAGGTCACGGTGGATGGGCTTTTATACATCTGCATTGATCAGTTACTGGATGTGTTTCTCTGGAAAGGGGACTTGACATCAGGCAAGGTGACTTTATTCCGCTGAGGCAATTCCCAAGTCTCAACATGTAATGGGGAGGGATCTGATGGCCCACCGCAGTATCCACTGTAGGGAACTAAAAATAGTAGCTACCCTTCCACTTTTCTAACTACTTTAAAAGAACAGAAGTTTCTGTGTCATATGCCCAAGCCAGGAAGGTAGGATAGTTGAAAAGAATGTGAGCTGGGCTCCTCTGTATACAGGCTATGCAAAGTTGACAGACCAGGTAGTCCCAAAACAGTGGCTTAGCTCAGGACTCAGCATCAACACTGGTGGCTACTGAACAGTGGAGGGAAGAGCTTGTATTCAGGTGATACAGGTCTGAAACTGCTAGACGTGGAGATACCAAGGCCACCAAAATGTAGGTCATTTTCACATTCCATTAGGAGGCAAATAAATTAATCCAACCATGTTGAGAGCATTTTGGTGAAGGATATGACATTTTCATCAGTAGGGGAAAGGTTTAATAATTTTAGGTGCATTTTTTTCGCAGCCATGTAAAGAAATTAAGGAAATCTGGAAGGTTCAAAATGATATAATGCTTAGTGACAAAGAAAGTTTTAGAGTATCATGTATGGTATAATCCAAGAGTCAGCAAACGTTTTCTATAAAGGGCCTGGTAGAAATATTCAGTGCTTTGCAGGATCACTATCTCTGTTGCCACTGTTCAACTCTGCTTTTATAGAGTAGTGTTTATGGCCACAGACAACACTTAGATAAATGAAGATGTCTGTGTCCCAATAAAACTTCACTGATGGACACTGAGATTTGAATTTTATTTATCATGAAATGCTTTTCATGTGTCATGAAATGCTACTCTTCTTTTTGTATTCCCTTCTTTCTCAGTCATGTAAAAATATAAATCCCATCCTTCTACTCTTAGCTCATGGGCTATATATAAACAAAAGTGAGCATGATTTGGCCTGTGGGCTAGAGTTTGCTGGCCTCTAGTATAGTTCCATATGTATCACTCTTATCTGTCTACACCCACACATATGCATGTGTGTGCCTGCACTCCCTCAATAAAAATTATCTGGAAGCGTATATCACAACTTTTAATGGTCATTGCTCCTGGCAATTAGTGTGTGGCCTGAGCTTTGAAGCCAGACTGCCTGGTTTTATAAGCCCTGCTCTATCACTTAGTAGCTGCAGGACATTGTGCAAATTACTTAACCCCCTTGGTGCCTCAAATTCCTTATCTTTAAAAGATGCTTCATTGGGTTGTATTGAGGATTAAATGAATTAATGAAGTAAAACATTTACCAGTGTGCTCTGCATATAATAGGTACTCTATAAATTTTAGCTTTCAAGGGAAGGTGATCAGACCCCTACTTTTTGTAGCTTTAAAAATATATTATTGATGGGGCACCTGGCTGGCTCAGTCGGTGGAGCCTGTGACTGTTGATCTTGGGATTGTGAGTTTGAGCCCCATGTTGGGGGTAGAGATTACTTAAATTAAATCTTTAAAAAATATATTATTGAGGGGTACCAGGGTGGCTCAGTCAGTTAAGCCTCTGACTTTTAATTTTGGCTTGGGTCATAATCTCAGGGTTGTGGGATCGAGCCCCCCATTGGGCTCTGCTCTGGGCATGGAGTCTGCTTGGGATTCTCTCCCTCTGCCCCTGCCCACCGTGCTCTTTCTCTCTCTCAAATAAATAAGTAAATCTTTATATATATATATATATATATGTATATATATACACACACACACACACACACACACATACATATG